ATGATAAAGAAAAGGTGACAAAATATTTAACCAATGAGTCTACGAGAATGTCTGAGTGTTCACTGTATTTCAGAGTAAGAATCTGGGGGGTGTGGGGAGCAGCATGCTGGTGACACGCAGGCTTCTAATCCCCTGAGGCACTGCCCACCTGTCATGCCCCAGAACGCAGGTCCAGACAGGAGTCGCAGTTGGGCATGGCGGGGTTTACCTGAACTCAGCAGTGCCCACGCACAAACCTCAGCTCCCCCCTCATTTGCTGTGCGACCTTGGGCAGATCTCTTAACCCATCAGAGCCCTGGCATCTGTACTGGAAGACTAGTCATAACAGCAGTGCCTTTTTCAAAGGGTCCTTGGGAAGGCGAAACTGCTTACTGGAGACGAATGCGAACAGAACCATGCCTGCCCCAAGCAGGCAGTCCACAAGCATTAGATACAACTCTGAGAGCTGAGTGTGACCTTCTAGAAGTCTTCATTTCAAAAAGTAGCTTGGGCGCCTGGGTGGCTCAGTGGGTTAAGCTGCTGCCTTCGGCTCGGGTCATGATCTCAGGGTCCTGGGATCGAGTCCCGCATCGGGCTCTCTGCTCAGCAGGGAGCCTGCTCCCTCCTCTCTCTCCGCCTGCCTCTCTGTCTACTTGTGATCTCTCTGTCAAATAAATAAATAAAATCTTAAAAAAAAAAAGTAGCTTAACTGCTTCCCTAAAGCACAGACCAGACCCACTTTAATAGTGCCCTGATACCTCAAGATCACTGTTATTAAATAACAGTTATGACAGAATGCAGGCCTCGGGGACTGCTGGGGAGGGTGACACCCCTGCACTGACAGCCCCGCCTGTGTTACAGCTCTGTTTGTTTGTTTTTAAGATTTTATTTATTTATTTGACAGAGAGAGATCACAAGTAGACAGAGAGGCAGGCAGAGAGAGAGAGAGAGAGAGAGAAGCAGGCTCCCCGCTGAGCAGAGAGCCCGACGAGGGACTCAATCCCAGGACCCTGAGATCATGACCTGAGCTGAAGGCAGCGGCCTAACCCACTGAGCCACCCAGGCGCCCCAGCTCTGTTTGGTTTTGATGGGCTTCTCAAGTTATATACTTAAGGACTGTGAGCAGATACAGATGAACACATACTAGTAACTTGTTGGTTTCTTTCCTTCCTCACTTGTAGCTGCTATCAACACATCTCCCTCTTCCCCTTTCCATTTGCTACGTCTAGGAACCCAACCACCAACTGGATTCAGCGCGAGGTCAGACCAAACAGGCCCTCAGTGTGTCTGGGCTGCTGCAGGCTGGGTTCAGTGAGCCCGCTTCAGAGAACCTCCTCTTAAGGGGCAGGGCCCCACCTCTGTTGTGTTCCAGATCTGACGCCCCATACACAAGACCTCTGCTCACTCAAGTATGGTGCTATCGGGTGGTTCACATGGGAGGGGCCCCAGCCCTCTTTTAGCCAGAGAAGGGAGAGTTTCAAATAGCATCACACCAGCCTCGTGCCCAGTGCCAACAAGCCAGGAGGCACAGGTGTGGGGGGTGGGGTGCGCACACCTGACCCGGGCGGGGCCACAGGGTAAGCCAAGTAAAGATGGTGGGAAGGCATGAGGCATGAGAGTAATGGTGGTTTTGTTCGTGTTGTTCTAAAATGTTCTCAATATGACGATCTCACATGTGCAAAAGGAGAACTGGGAGAAGTTTAAAAAAAAAAAAAAGGGCAGCAACACAGCAGGAACCTCAGTACTGGGGAGACCAAGACCTCCATCTATTTCCTTTAAAAACATAATGTGCTATTTCCTTTAAAAACATAATGTGTCTTTTAAGTCAACAGAGAAACTCCACAGTGCTTTGAAATGCCGTCTACACTACGGTCAGTAACACTGCCAAGGCTCGATCTTATAGAAATGCCAGCTCCCCTGCACCAACACTCACACCAGAGTCCACTGCTACAGGCACGAAACAGCAAAACACGGGAATGGCAATGCAGTATCCTTCCAGCAGGTGAGGGGTTCACAGGTTGTGGACCGTGCAGCCATGTGGAGTACCGCGCAGGCAGGAAAAAGAACGAAGGTGCCTCATGAAACAAGCACACAACAGAATCCTGTGGTAGAATGTATTTGCTAGGATCCTGCATGTGTACTTTTCAAATGTCTGCATGTGCATGCATCACATAATCCGTTACAAGGGCCTGGAAAGGGATACACCAACACGTGGGGACAGTGGTTAGCCAGAGGAGGGGAAGGCTGGCATGTTCTGTCTACACGCTTCTGTGTTGTTTGAAGAATTTCACAACTAGGCCCCCTGGCAGGCTAGGACCATGCGGGAGCAGGGATGGGAACCGCCAGCCTGCCTGTATCCTGAACAAAGTGCTGGCTCTGTGCCAGCCTGGCTTTGCCCAGGGTGAAGGAGAGCTAAAGTGGCTCACACTCTACCCGGCAGGCTGCTGGTCCAAGGCAGCTGCACAGGAGGGCACCTGCAAGGGGCCCAGGAGAACAACGTGGCTGGAAACCAGGCTCTAGGGCTGGACAGACTTTGTGTTGGGGGGAGGGAGCCTAAATACCCTGCCCCAATCATCTCATTCAAGATCAAATGCCTTGTTTGGAGGCTCAAGATAAACTTCAAACTAACCCCACCCAAATTATTACAGGAAATGGCAGAAAGAAAGCAATCTTACTCTACTTCTACTTCCACCCCCACCCCAAAGAGGGCCAGGTAACCAGGGATGTGTCTCTCCTGAGGTAGGCAGGAGGGAGGAGCTGCGTACAGCACAGCGTCCCCCTTTCCAGCCAGGCCTCCAGAGTTGCTAAAATGGACCCAGCCCAGGCAGCTCACAATCGGATGTTTTAGCTCCTCGGATGTTTTAGCTCCTCGTGCTGCAGGGAAAACAGGGCACAGAGGCATTCTGAAAACAATTCTTTGTGGAAACAAATAGGTAGGAATGTATTCAAGGCATCTCTGCCAAGAAAGGCTGAGTGACCATTGTGCTGGGGCCTGCCAAGCCCCACCACTCCACACAACAAGCAGCAATCTCCAGGTGAAGGGCCTGGCTGGCTCCGAGGGAAGATCGGGATGATCGGCCCTCGGAGGGCCCCAGGCCTTCCCTTCTGCAAGTCCCGAATGTTCACATCAAAGCCCTTCAGCCTCCCAAGAAAATATGTTACTGGTCTTGCTATTCCCCAAGGCAAGACTTAGCAAATTCCCAATCTGGACTGGGAAGTTCTGACTAGCCAATAAGTGACTTAAAAAAAAAAAAAAAGTGTGTTGAGTTGCAAAAACCTTAGTGTCTTTGCTTCATCACATGTTTGTTATAATATCAACAATTACCTTAATTTAACAGGGTAATCAGTCTCCAGGAGACTGGCGTACAACTAACCAGGACAGGCAGCTCTTTTGCATTCAGTTGGGACAGGCAGTGTGGGTGGGAGACCACAGCAGAGTTAGGGAAGGCTGGGTCTCCCTAGAGTCAAGGCTCAGCCTTGTCCTTCCCGAAGGGTTCTCAAACTCATAGCCTCATTTCCCACACCTTCCAAGTGGTCAGGGGAGACATTACCAAGCTGCAGGGAGGTCTGGGGACCTGTCCTTGCCCACGGGGCTAGACAGAGCAAGCTGGGAACTGCCTTCTTGGCTAAAGTGGGTTTGATATTCACCCCCCGCCCCGCCATACAATCACTATGGGTGGGTGGGGTGGTGGTGGTGGTGGTGGTTCCTAGTGGAGTAAGGCCTGGCATGACTTGAACCACTGCCAGCAGGGACCCCCCAGAAAGCTGCGGGAAGCCCACAAACCAAACCACAGCAACCTCAGAACCAATGTCTGCTGCTCAGGTCTTTCCAGGGTAGCCTGGCCTCTCAGTCAACACTGTGGCCTGTGAGCTACCCCTTTCCCCTCTATGAACACCAGCTAATTATGTTCTGCACACCTGGGCACAGGCTGTAAATGGGCTCCCTAGAGGTGCCCTCCACCAGAAGCTGAACCAGACACCCTCCAGAGGCAGGCTCTCGGTTCATAATCAGATTCACGTGGGGCACCACTTAAACTGTGTGTTCAGTGGGAGGTCAATATCTGGGACCTGGAAATCTACATTTCCAAGGCCCCCAAAGGAACCCTGTACATTCCTGACTCGAAGGTCTACATCTGCTGTGGAGGTAGGGCACACTTGGAGGGCAAGGCTGGCTCCCTGCTCTTAGACTCAGCACACTGCAGCCAGTGTGCGGTCCATCCTCCCTTGCCTGTTTGGGGTTTCAAATCACCCCAGAGAGACTGGGTTCCACCCACTGGGGGAGACCCGGGTTCCCATCGCCTCTAATCTTCTCGCCAAGGAACCCGCTCAGGGACACTGGAGCCTGAATTAGGGAGTGAACCAACCCACAAGCTATCCTCCAGCTCAGGCCCCCATCCAAGCCTGCTCCGCCCACGACAGCGAGCCCCGCCCCTCAGCCAGCCTCTCCGCAATTCTTGAACCCCGCTAGCCGGCTGGAAGGCCACAGTGAAGCAGGCTGCGAAGTATCCAATCCTTAAAATTACTGGTCCACTACAGACCTCGCGCCCCAAATCGGTCCTCGAGCCAAGGCCCACGCACTGGAACCGCCCCCGTAATCTGGGTGCTCCAGGATCCCAACCTAGCTTGATCCCTCCCCTACGGCCACACCCACCCTTGCAATAATGTTCCTAAATTGAACCAACATCCATCCCTACACTAACCCCACCCCCTATATCTGTCCATACACACTTAATTCTGACTCAGAATGAGTAGAAATGGCCCCGCCTTCACCCTCGACCCCACCACCAGCCACGTGATTTGGGGCGCTCGCAGCAAGGGACCAAAACAGCGGGGGGCAGCCTCCGAGGTAAAGGTTCGTCTGAAATCCGCCGGTCTTGACACCTGAAGACCTTGGGACAGCTCAGTTCCAAATTTACCAGGAGAAAGGGGTCTTTCAGCTCCAGGGTCTTGAGGACTGCCGTTTTTACGCCAGTCTTTTAGCCAGTTTCTGTACTGTTTTATAAATGCGAAGTCTAAATCGCTGATAACAAGACAACTTTATTTATACGGGTTTTTAACCTGGTCCAAATGTGGAAGAATTAAGTGTAACAGAAGAGTTGGCGTGAGCCCAGGAAAAATACACAATTCTTTAAACCAACCTGGGAGGAAAGGTTGCATCCCACCGTTGTTTAAAAAAAACGAAAAACAACCAACGACGAGGTTCCGGGCCCCTGGGAAGGGGAGGGCTGCCCGGGGGTCGGGGGTCAGGCGATGGTCCTCTGAGACCGACCGCCCCCTGTGCAGGTGCCGCCCGGCAGGTGAAAGCAGCGCAGAGAAGAGGGCGGCGCGGAGGAACCGGCTGTGGACTGGGCGCTCCTTTCTGGAGAAAGCGCCCCCAGGCCTAAGAGCCCTCTCGGGTCGGGCGCGCCCCCGCTGGCCGGATGGGCGGGGCTCCCACAAAGAGCCTCCGGCGGAGAACCCGGACCGCCCCCCGCCTCGGCCGCTGCTGGCTCTGGTTTCGACAAATTAAACCTTAGAACGCTGGAAAAATTACAGGAAGAAGAGAACGAAGAATGTGCCGAGTGGCTGGAGGGAGCCCTGTCCCCGCGTGAACTTAGCCCGCCGCTCGCCCGGGCCGGGCCGGGCCGGGCGGGCCCCTCCCCTCCTGAGAGCGCGCTAGGCCGGCGGGGGAGGGGCCGGCAGGGGAGGGGCCGGGGCGAGGACACCCCTCCCCCGCGGCCCCGGGGCGCCCCCGCCGCCCAGCTCCCGGAGCAGCACGCGAGGTCCCCACCCAGCTCGCCCGCACCTGCCCGCGCCACCCCCCCGCCCCCCGCGGGGTCTACGCCCGCAGCCCCGATGACGACATCCGCCCCCGCGGCCCCGCCCGAGAGTGCCCGGGGAGGGGGCGTGCCCGGCGGGGGCGCGGTCGCCGAGCGGGCGCCGGCTCCCAGCTCCCGGACCCGTCTCGCTCCGCGCGCGGGGCAGACCACTGGACCGTGTGGCGGGGAAAAGGGCGAGGCCCCGACCGTTCCCCGCCCGACCGCCCCTCCCGCCCCGCCGACAGCTCCGGGGGCGTGGCCCGGTGGCTGGCGCTGTCCCCGTCCGCGCGCTCGGGGCGCCCGGGCGGCCCTACTGACCTGTGTGAGTTCTCAGGTGCGCCTTGAGGTGCGAGGATTTCCCGTAAACTTTCTCGCAGCCCGCGTAGTGGCACTTGTGCTTTCTCTGCGGGGACTCGAGGTCGGCGCGACTTCGGCCGCGCCGGCCCCTTTGTCTGAGGCCGGGTTCGCCGCTCCCCGCGGGCCCTGGCTCCCGCTCCGGCTCCAGCCCCGCCTCGAGCTCGGCCTCGGGCTCGCTCCACGCGGGGCTGAGGGGCGCGGCCGCAGCACCTTCGCCGCCGGGGGAGGCCGGCTCGGGGGCGGGTGGCAGCGCTGGCGGCAGGCGGCAGGGGGTCCTCGCCTTCCGGGCCGCGGCGCCCTCTCTGCGCTCCGCCGGGGCGGGCGCCGGCGCTTGCTGGTTGAGGTCGGCCAAGATCCGCGCCACCACGAAGAGGGAGGCACTGTCCTTGCCGTCGCGGCGCTCCTCGACGCGGGGCAGCGTGGCGGCGACAGCGGTGGCCGCGCCCTCAGGTCCGGGCTCCGGACCCTCCCGCGGCCCGTGCACGACCGCGCGGCTCGACATGGACACGAGGCACTCGGCGGCGAAGTGGTCCACATAGGCGGCGGCTGCCATGCTGCGGGCTCCGGCCGGCGGGCCGGCAGCACTGCTGGTCGCTGCGAGTCGTCAGCGGCGCATCCGCACCCACGGCCTCCCGAGAGCGGGCGGGGGGCGGGGGCGCGGCGCGCCCTCTCCGCGGGCTGGGCTGGGCGCGCAGCCGCCTCTGCCGTCACCCGCGCGGCTCCGCGTCCGCAAGGCGCCCGCCCGGCCGGGCACCAAAGAGTGAACGCATGGGGGGTGCGGGCCAGTGGGGTCCCCGCGCGGCGTCAGGGGCGGCCTATCCTAAGGATGCCGAGCAGCGACGTTAGGGACTACCTCGCCAAGTCGCGGCCGCAGCCTCGCCGCGCATTGTGGCAGGCGGGACAGCCGCCGTGCGCGCCGCGGCTCGGTGTGGGCGGCCCGGCCCCGGGGGTGGGCGGGGCCGGGGCCACATCTGGACCCGACGTCAGCCCCCAGCCACATCCTGGCGGCGCAGGTTACAGGCGGCGGCGGCCGCGGGGAACTGCGCGCGCGGAGGGGGCGGGGATCCCAGAGCGCGCATCGTCAAGATAGAGCGGTCGCGCGCCCGAGGCTGAGGAGGGGGCGTGGCCTAGGACAGGGGCTGACGCCGTTGGTTCGTCGGTAGGCGGTCGGACCAATCCAGGCGGCCAGAGGGGCCGACCCGGCCTGGGGGCCTGCGCTCGCCAATGGGCGTGCCCTCTTGGCCCGCGGGAGGAGGAGCGGAAATTTGAGCCGAGAGCCGGGCACGCTGACGCAGGACGTCCGAGGGCGGCGGGCCGGGGCGTGGCCGCGTGGGGACCGCTCCCCACCCCACCCGACCCCACCCCCCTAGCAGCGGGGAGCCCGCGGGGCATTTTCTTGCCACGGCCTCTGTACGGTGACAGCCTCGAACCCTGGAGTGGAAGCGAGCGCTTGGGAGGGCGCCCCTTTGTCCCTCCGTCCCCCCCTGTGAGGGGCGCTGGGGATGGGCGCGCCTCCGTGGGGTTCGCCTCGGCTTCTCTCTTTCCTTCCAGAGCGGCGTTTGCACGGCGGGGAGGCGTGTCCGCTCCGGCTGGGCGTGGGGCTGCCGGCCTGGTCTGGGGGCGGAACAACTCCCCGGGCACCCCGCCGCAGCAGGGTTCCTAGGTGGCCGCGCCTCGAGGCGCAGGCCGCTCGCCCCCTCCATGCTCTCTCCCTCTGCTCCGCTCCGGAACTGGGTGCGGCCCGGGTGGGAGCGAGGTCTCGGGTGGGGCGAGGCCGCTCCCGCAGGAAGGACCGGCTGCTTCCCCGACCGAGCAGCCGGGGACCCCGAGGGGATCGCGCTGCGGGTGAGCCTATGTCGGCTGGAGTCGGACTGGCCCCCGGCTGGTGGTTAACCTGCCAGCGTGGGTGACGTGCCCACCGCGTACTGTGCTTGCAGGAGTGAACTACGTGCTGGTGCAACCGGCGCCGCTGTTCAGGGAACGGGGGGCCCCTTCCTCCTCCCCGCCCGGCCTGCTGCCAACAACTTCTCCAGGCTGCCCCTCTCCCACGGCGGTGGGGAAGGCTTCAAACGCCACCAGCTGCGAGGACCCCGCCCACCGCGCCCCACCCACCCACTCACTGTCTGGGCCTCCCGAAGGAAATACTCCGCGGCGCCCAGCCCGCGTACTCCTGGTCCCGGCCCTGCCAACTTGCCCCTCCCTGACTCTCACGGGCGCCCCCACCCTCATCGCCTCGGCCCCACCGTCCTTCTGCAGGCCTAGGCCATCTCTAGAGAGACCAGTATATTAACTTTCTACTGCTTCCGAATCAAGCGCCGCAAGACCCTTTCCGGACCCTCACCGGCAGCCCCTGAACCGGAAGGCGGAGGCCTGGGTCAGCCCCCTGGGTGGTTTGCCTTCATGGACGGTTTGCACGTGTCCGCCCGCCGCAAGGGGACCCTACTGGGTGACGGCAGCCCAGGCACTCAAACCCTGCGGACCTGAGAAGAGGGCTGGGTGGGGCGAGGTCATCCTGTGCACAAAATTAAGAGCAGCCATTTCTCACCAAATTAATTTGAGGCCTGGGTAGGAAAAAAACGTCTTTCCAGGTAACAAAGAAGGAACTGAGAGAGATGTTCTCTGTTACTTGCTACGGGGAACTGTAAACTGGCATGGATGATTGAGCACCCTGGGTGTCTGTAACCGAAACCCTCTCACTGATGAAGTTGGTGCCCTGTGGGAAGACTACTGGCCTGCTTCCCTGCGGTGGGCTCTGTAAGGGCCATCTGGGTCAGGGCCCTCTAAGAGGGTCTCCTGGCAGGAAGGAATCATTCTGTCAGGCAGATTGTGTTGATGACATTTAAGAGATTTGTGTTCTGACCAAATAATGATGCAGAATGTTCTTGTAGTCCCACCACATGCCAGTCAGTCACTTACCAGCACCCATCCCCTCTCTATTCTCCTCCAGCTGGGGTGGGGGATTCTGCCCCAGTCTTTGAGATTCCACATCTCTTGGCTTTCTCCATGACCCCTGCTGGGATACCAACCCCCCCACCCTACCCCCACAGCCCGAGCGCACACACACATTGGCCATCCTCCTACAGGTATGCACTATTCTAGACATTGGGCCACACAGCCATGGACAAGACACCCGCTCTGGGTGAGGGGAGGTCAGCCTGGGTGAAGGGTCCTCTGCATTGCCACACATCCCACCTCCATCCACAGCCCAGAGCAGTCCCTAGGCCTCTCCATGAGTGCTGAGTGCTGTCTCCCTAGGAGTTTCAGGGGTGCCCTGTGGCACTCCAGATGCAAAACTCAGCCCCTTGGCTGGTTTCTCACCCATCTGGTGATCACTGAAGGGCTCAGACCCTGCAGCCTTTACCATGTAGAAGTATGTTCCAGTATCCAGAGATTCATTTCTCTTCCCCAGAGCTGTGAGTCCATGTTTTTCTAGCTAACCAGAATTCTGGCAGAGGTAGCTCATTGTATATACGAGGGTGAGTGGGGGTCAAGTGTCAGGTGGAAGGCACAGAATATAAAAAAGCAGGAAGATCGGATGAGAACAAGTACATGGAGATGTGTCTGGGGAGTAAAGAGGTTCAAGACGGGTTTCTGGTAAAGGTGGTGGACTGGCTCTTCATTTCTGGAGCCTCCTGAAACAACAGTAAGTTTGTTATAAGACAGAAATTGCCAAGGATAGGGAGAGCAAGGGAAGAAGTAACAACACCACAATTTTTGAAGCTACAATACTTAGCAGACCGGAGAAAATGAAATCCTGAAATGAGAGCCAGGAACATACCTTGGAATATCCAGAAAGGTCACGAATGGGTGGCACTAGGTACCTCTGGACGTGAATGTGAATGAGAGGCTAACCTAAGAATAAACTGGAAAGCTTGGCTAAGAAGTCCAGAGTTGCCCAGATCCTCTCCCTAACTCTGTGCAGCCTTCCCCATCCTGACAAAAGCTGATGGTTATTATCTAAAGAAGGTATAAGGGAGGGGCACCTGGGTGGCTCAGTGGGTTAAAGCCTCTGCCTTCAGCTCAGGTCATGATCCTGGGGTCCTGGGATCGAGCCCCGCATCCGGCTCTCTGCTCCGCGGGGAGCCTGCTTCCTCCTCTCTCTCTCTGCCTGCCTCTCTGCCTACTTGTGATCTCTTGTCTGTCAAATAAATAAATAAAATCTTTAAAAAAAAAAAAAAAAAAGAAGGTATAAGGGAGCATCTTGGGTTGGGAGACCCCAGGCACAATTGACAGCAGAGGAGCCATAATAGGAAGGGGAGGATTAAATGAGCAGATAGACACTGGATGGTGAGACCAACCCTGCTCCCTTTTTGGCATTTAAGATGGCAGGAGCCAGGAGACAAAGGGTCTTTTCTGTGGCATCAGACCAGGCCAAGGGAAATACCTAAACTTTTTGGCAGCTGTGATTGCACAACTATGCCAGATCACCCAAAGGAAAGGCCACTGTTCATGAGCCCCACATGTGTGGATAGGGCTTCTAATCAGTCTTTGACACACAGCCAAAGTTGACCTGGCATCTCAGGAAAGCCCTGTGTCATGAAATCTAGAGCCCCAATGGATTTTTTTAAAAAGCAAGTTGGAATATACAGAGACTATACAGAGAGAAGTCCACGACAACATAACTACTAATAATGTCATTGAAGAAATTAAGATATTGCAACCCATGAAAGTGGAACACATGTAAAGAAACATTCAGAGAACTAACAAAGCTCTTGGAAATTTAAAATAAGATAGCAGAAAGGAAAAACCTTCAAGAGGGAAAATGGAGGATAAAGTTGAGGAAATCCTTAGGAAAGTAGGATAAGAGGTGCCTGGGTGGCCCAGTCAGTTGAGCATCTGACTCTTGATTTCCTCTCAGGTCATGATCTAAGGGTCCTGGGATTGGCCCCTGCATCAGGCTCTGTGCTCAGCATGGAGTCCTCTTGCCTCTCCCTCTGCTCCTCCCCCACTTGTGTTCTTTCTCTCTCTCTCTCCCTAAAATAAATAAAATCTTTTTTTTTTTTTAATGTAGAACAAAAAAGAACACCAAAGATGGGAAATAGAGAAAAAAAATAGAGGACCATCCAGAAAGTCCATTGATCAAAAAACAGGGACCCTGAATGAATGATTAGAGAAAACACAAGGGGTGGGCAAGAGTCATCAATGAATTAACCCAAGAAAAGTCTCCACTAGTGAAGAAGGTGTGTTGAAAGGACCCACAGGGAGCCCAGCACACCGGGAAGAAAATAGCCCTACCCAAAAGCAGATTACTGTTGAAGTTCGGAATAATGGGGACAAGAAGTGTCTTGACAATAGAAGCAGGTCACATCAAGATTGTCAGGAGTCAAGAATGTCTGTGAGCTCCTCCACAGCAACAAGTAGAAGTTAGAAGGCAAGGAACAAAGCCTCAGGCAACCTGAAGTAAAATTATTTTCCCATCTTCACCCAAAGTACAAACCAAATATTTTTAGATGTACGAGGTCCCACAAAATTTACCTTGTGTACATTGTTTCTCTTGGTAGGAGGCTACCAGAGATAACACTTCCAAGATGAAGAGCTCCAACGATGAAGAGGGAGGCACATGATCCAGGAAGCACACCACACGGGAGGGTGGGGAGGGGTCCAGAGGGCAACCAGACAAAACTGGAGCAGGGCAGAAGCTCTGAGGACACCCCTTCCAAGGGTAAGATAGACTGTATCAGTCAAGAGAGGCTGGGCCGTTCCTCAGAACGAACAACCTGCAGATCTCCAAGGTTTATTTCTGGCCAAGCTACGAGTTCCCAGCGAGGCCCCCCGGGGACAGACAGGTTGATGGAACAGACTCTCTGGAACATGCTGGTCATCCTGGCAGAGGGACAGTGAGAGCACTGACCCAGAGGTGTCACTCGAGCCTTCTTTTCCACATGTAAAATCTACTTTTCCCCTCCCCAAGTGGGCCTGCCCCACTTCCATGAGCCTTTTAAATCTGGATCTAGAGGCCAGGGACAGGGAGATCCGAGACTGAAGGATGACAGGGATTTGAGGCGAGGGAGACTGTAGTGTCCCATTCGAGTTCCAG